AGGGAAAGAAACTGAGGTCAGGCAGGTCTTTTTAGTTTTGGAAGAGGAAGAGAGATATAGAGAGACATCAGGTGAATTGAAACAAGGAGTGAAAAAAAATAAAAAGGAGCTCGGGAGGAATAACAAAGCTGATAAATGGGAAGAGTGAAAAGGATGTGACTAATGACATGAGAAGAGTTGTTTCTGGAAAAACTGACTGGTTGAACAATGATTCACACAACAAACACCTGGATGTTTGCCTTCTTTTCATCAGATCCACTCAGAGAAACAGCTGGCTCAAGGAACCAGTCTCACTGCTGAGTTTCTTCTTGTGGTTTTATCTGTGGCACCATGTTATGACTGCTGTAAAGCCTTAAGTGCTTCTGGACTTTGTAATGTATTTGACATGGGAGTTTTTTTCCTATGTGGTAACAATCTGTAGGCAGTTGCTCTGTGGCTGGGAAATCATTTCAGCCAGAGAAAGATACTGGGGGTGAGCAGGCTCACCTCTTTCAGTGACTTTAAAAAATACAGGCATTCAATGAAACAATTAGGTACCCTAAATTTTTATTTCAAGTACCACACTGCACTTCCTCATAGCTGGAATTCCAAGAAGAGACACTACCATGTGAAAGACAAACGCCTAACTTGTTTACCTGCCTCTGAGTTCTGGCGTCGTGACTTAAGTTGTTTTGCACTTGTCATGTAAAGGAGGGGTAAAAATGATATTAGGAATTTGTTTATGTAAATTTGTTATTGCAGCATAAGTTCCTACTGTTTTGAAATTTATACTTCATGCTGAATGTACTGCTCATTCATATCCAACTAGTACACAATGCATGTACTAGTCACTTAAAGTCAACATATTTCCCAGGAAGTTCGATTCCCTCCCCTTATTATATTTACTTTGAAATCATTAACAATGAGTTTTAATGCTTTAATGGAAACTGTTGCTTTTGAGCTGTGCTCTAAAGATAACTCACTGCTAGTAGGCAGATTTGAGAAAGTGTGAATAATCCTGAATGCATGAATAGTGAACAGTTGTGTTTGAAAGCATACTGAAAGCATAGTCTAGAGGGATTTTTTCCTGGGGAAATAAACACTGTTTTCAAGGGAAAAGTGTGAAAACACAAACAGGGAGTTCACCTTTCCCAGAACTGTACACTTTCCAGCTGTAATAAATTCTAAATGCTTCTTTCTTTGGATGCATAAATCAGAAAATAGTAATGTGCTGCTCAAATAATTTAACAGTTTTCAAGAGCTGTCTCACATACTGAGGAAATTGAAAGCAGAAGTTAGAACCTGGATGAAAAGTGAAATTTCATGAGAGAATAAAATAAGCCTGTTCAAAACTTCTGAAATAAGCATGGCACTAGAAAGTGAAAGCAGAGAGTGTTTAGCAGAAAGCAAAACATTTTAAGGATGATAATTGAAAAAAAAGTCTGTTTTTTTCCCCCCAATATATTTTATTTATTATTTATTTTCCCATAGTCCTTTACAGTTCAGTTGATTTCAGTTCCCCTTACTACAGGTGCTATAATGCAGAGTCTAGGAGGGACTGATTCCCTTGAAGGACTGAAGACCTAAACGAATGTGACAGATGACACCTGAGGGAAAGGAATGCTTACGTCTGTTATGAGGTGGGTGTCTGTAAATGGGCAAATAGAGTGATTTGCCCAAAGTTACCCAAAGTAAATTTGTTGCAGAGATCATACAGCATTTGAACTTTCTGAGTTGATGACTGGTGAATTATTCTCATATCTAGGCTGGGTCCTCCTCATGCACAGATCTGCTGTGAAATCAAGCCACCTTTATGTCAAAATTCTTTTGTCTTCTCAGTGTGAATTATCCCTGTGACTAGGCAAGTAGCAAACGTGATCTCCATATGAGGCCCATGCCTTCTCCTTTCCACCTTCTCTCCTACAGAAAGGATAACTGGAAAGTTATCCTATGGCTCCAACCCATGCCCTGCATGTTCATTTCTCACAGCCCCACTGAAATAAATGAATTCAGAAAGAAAATCCCAAAGGACAGGAAAATATTGAAGGCTGCGAATTACCTTGGAGCTACACTGCTTCATTACATGGCTGCCATTTCATACCACACCTAGTCATTAAGAATCAATAATTCTCCATGCTGTTAATGTTTGATCTGCTGAACCTCTAGGGTGAGTCTGAGGAAGTATAAACCTTGTGGAGAAGCACAGACAGACACTACCTACCTGCACAAAGGTGATTCTCACAGCTGAAAGAAAGAAGCATTTTTAGAACAAAATAAGCATTTCATGTAACAGGTAAGGGATGATCTAACTGTCATTTCATGGAAAGAATTTAAAAGCTGAAGATTTTTCTCTGGCAGCAGTAAGAACTCAGCTGTCCTTTGAAATGGATGCCTGCTGTGCTAAGGCTTAGTCTGGTTTGTATTTGATTTGGATCAATTCCCTCTGTTTTCTCTTTACTGAATTTAAACATCTGAAATCAATCATTTAAAGAAAATCAGTTTGGTTTTTTTTTTTTTTTTCATGGAGCCAAACACTTGTGATTGTTACTGATCTTTAACCTTTGGGAATATTCTTTGTTCTCTGAATGTTTATTATTGAAAGTTTCTGGGTTATTTGTACAAAGGTTATCCTAGAGATTTCTGTTCAAGCAGGGGAACCAAAAGGGATTATTAGGGGTATAACACTGAGATGAAACTAAGAAATGAAGGGAAAAAATATGGCTCCAATCCTCAGCCAGATCTCAGGCTGCTTTTAGTTAAGCTGATCCTATTCTAATCCTGAAACTGCCTGTTATTGAAAACTTTCATATGGGTTTATATATACTGAAATTCTATTCTGAGTGACAGAGGAGTATGTATTTTTAGGGTTTGGTCCTTGGAAGTATGATGCTTTGTGAGAGTTGGTAGCAGCTTCCAGCCAAAAATTAATGTTCAAGAGCTGCTCAAGCCACTCACCCTGGCCTTGCAACTGGCACCGCAAATGCCATAACATTAGAGAATGATGTTTATATCCAAAAAGAAAGGAACAGCAAAGGCTATTATCATGCAGACCTGTAACCTACAACATGACTGTATTTCCACTGCTATGTTTCATAGTCGGATCTGGACGGAGAAGCTCGGCTGAGACACAGCTCAGTCACGCAGCCACATGAAGAAGTGCACTTTCCAGCATTTTTTGTCCCCTGTGCTAGGGGTGGATGTGTCCCTTCTTTATACTTCATTCTCACCATTGTAGCTCTTGCTTCCTCTCTTTTCCATGAATCCATACCATGATATTTCCAGATCATTGCATAGCCTTTTCTCTCACCTCTTGCTAGGCTCCTCCAGGACTTTTAGCTCCCTAGTGTCCCTCCACCACTGACTGGCCAAGGGGCATATACAGCTGGATCTGCATATGAAACCATGCAGGCAGCCACTGGGCACACACTGCAGCCTACACCTCAGGGGGGGGTATGCCTTTGTGTCCTCTGTCCCACCTGTCATCCCAAATTAATAAGGAATTATTTTCTTGAAGTTCCCACCCTGCTATAAAGTGTGGCTGAAATTGGCTGACATATTCAGAAGAGAGCAGGAGTGGGGGAGTGGAGAGGCTGTTGAACATATGGAGGAACTGAATGAATTTCTGTTGACTGTCTAGCTCAAATATCAGCAACAGTCTTGGTTCAAAGTGTCTTCCTAGCAGGTTCGAAGTGTCTCCACTACCTCTCTGTCCTGCCTGTGCCAGGTCCCAGCTCCTCTGACTGGAGGCAGGTCAGTGAGTGACCTGCTTAACAGTCATCACTGCCAGGTAGCTACAGGGAGTTCACCTTCAGCCCTCATTTCCTGACAAATTTAATGGTCTTCCTGATCACTTCTGGTTTCAAATTAGTGTAATTTTATTTTTTTCTAGTCCCTATGCAGCTACCTACAGCCCAAGGAAAGAGCTCAGTGACCTCAAAGGGTGTAATTACACAGATATAAAAACCCTAATCAGAATGGGATTTGCAAGATAAAGTCCTGTGGCATATCCTAAACTGAGTGCTGGAGAGAACAGCAGTGTGGGCAGCACTTTTTGTATTTACAAGTCCCCTTTTTGGTCAGCTGTTGAGGAAAGAAAAGAAGGGGGGAAAAAGGGTTTGATGGGAACCCCAAGTGAAAAGGTATCTCGAGGGAGCTGTGCCTCCACACTGTCTTCTTCTCCTTGGGCCTCCATGGAAGAGAGCTGTGGTGGCTGAAGGATACTTGTAGGTGTGAGCCACATAACATGGAGCACCACTGAAGAGGAAACGCTGCACTTCAGTTTTACCTCTCTCCAGAATCACCTTCATCCTTTTTATTGAAACATAGCAGTAGTAAGAAATCAGGGTTCAATTTCTGAGGAACTCATTTGTTTTCCAGGATGGTGTAACACAAGTCATGGCAGTGTGTGCTTACCATTAGTTTGAAATTTGAGGCAGGCAGAGCTCCTTGGACTTGGAAATTTTGTTCCAGTATCCATGTTGTTTTAAGAGGTATAGACACCTTTGGCTTCCTCTGCCTCTGCAAGCTGCACTGAGCAGGTTTTTATTTTTTTTTGTAACCAGAAGACAAAGGCCTCAGGATGGTCCCTGCAAGATCTTCGTCTTCTTGTGGTTATAGTGTTTCCTGTGAACGTGTTGTTGCCTTCAGTAAAGCAGAAATGAAAAAGGGGCTTGCGTGACACAGAGCCATTGCAACAGCCAGGTTGCACGGCTTGAAGTTTTGTGCCCGTTTCAACCTCTGACAGCTGTTTGAGGCTCTCTCAGGATGTGGCACCTCCTGCACCACTGGAGACAGACCTGGTGGACATGACCTTCCTGCACAGCCCAGGGACATCTGTGGTCTCAAGTTCCATGGGCAGAGCTGCGCTGGTCCTTCACAGCTTGCTCCTCAGCTGCTTTTTTCCTACAGCTTCAGGAAAGCTTAGCTATAGCCTTTATCTGCAAATAGATTGGGCCAACTCTGTGGGGTTAAAGTGACTATCACCTCTTCTTTGCAGGAGCTGAAGCAAAGCATATTCCAGTATGTTTAAGTTGTGTGGACTTCAATTTCTGCTTGTCATTCATTTGGTGAGTTACAGCTTTTCCTTTGTTTATCTGGGAGCAAACAGCAAAGGTTGCCTGCAAGGCTCTGAGCTCTAACCCACGGGGCGTCCCACTCTGCAGGTCAGGCTGGCAGTGTGTAATGCTGGGTGTGGGAGTGTGCCCCTGACACGTATGTGACCCTGTGGCCAAAAGTTAAGAAGACATGTCAATTATAAGGAAAAAAAATCTTTAAAACGCCTGAAAGACATGAATTTATCTGTTTTGCCTCTTGGACTTCCTCCTTATATATTACTTTTTCCAGTAAATGGATTACATCCTAGAAAAGATTTAAAAATACTGCAAGCCAAACAGTGAGGGCATCTGTATCATATGTTCTGTATTATAATTCATACATGTGTTGACATATTAAATGTATTCTAAGACGTAATGGCACATAGTTTAAACCATGCATATTAATAATTTATCCTCATTGTTCCATAAACGTGAATCCCTTTTTAGAGGACTTTCTGGAACTGAAATGTATTAATTATGCTATTTTTGGACCTCATCTATTAAATCAAATAGATTTATTGATGTTTGCAAAGGCTACAGTGGTAGCTTCTACTCTACAATTGAAATTCAAAGAGAAAAAAAGTCAAATTCAAGTCTACTAAAAATTCCTCAGAATATGGAGTCCCTGAAGGGTGGGACTGATGTGCAGTAGTGAGCACTTCCTTTTTCCTTCCCACTTCAAATGCTGCTGCCCACGGCAGTGCTGACCCCCATGAAGCCATGAATTCTGTAGGCATTATTGGCATCTTCAAAAGGGATGCCAGAAAGATAAGGGCCAAGGAGAAAACCCTATTTCCTCCTCAGGCCCCTGAGTAGTAATTCATGTTGTAGACATACGTTTGGAAATATTTATGGTCCACATAAAGTAATTTTAATTGACAGGAAGAGATATCTCTTACTTGCTTCACAGTCTGCACTTTGAACCTGTTAGGTTTTATAATGGCAGCCTTTGTTCCTCCAAGGCAAGGAACATGACCAAGCAAATCCCCTCCACAAAATGACCTTGGGAAAAACCTCCAGTAGTCAGGTTGGGCCCACCAGTGTGACACAGGAACAGCCATTGCAGATCAGATCCAGGGCCCTGCTGCCTTGTCCATGGCGGAAGGCAGCAATCGGCATTTAGCAAAACCAGTAAAGGGTAGCTGTAAAGTACACTTTCCTGGTGTGTGTACCTATTGCACGGCTTTTTTGGATGTTTTTCTACTGTCACTAGTGTTTCTTACCATCCTTTCTACTCCTCCCCCAGTTCTCACAATATTTTATTTTCCTCTTTGCAAGAAGTGATATACCTGTGTCGTCACTGAGGGCAGCAGCTCTGGCTATCGTTAAGCGGAATCTGGAGTTATTCAGAAACCACTTGTGACACACACAGAGCAGCACTTTAGGGTAAATTACACTGAACTCAGCTATGTTTTTGCCACAGACAGAATTAAGTTTTCCCTTGGTAATATGTAGACTGTGCATTTCTGTCAGAGGCTGAATAGCTGTCCCAGCAGCAATAGGACCCAATCCAGGGGTAATGTCATGCAGCAGAGAATATGCACTCCCGGAGCCGGACTCCACGGAGTGGTGGGTAGGGCGGCAATGGCACTCCAAATCTGTAAAGCAAAATAAAGTTATTTTTACTTCAGAAGAAAGGGAGTTTTACATGTACAGCCAAATGATGGAGTCCTAATTCTAGCAGGCAGTTCCTCAGCATTGACAAGGGCTTGGTGACAGGGAGAGATGAGTAAGCATTCAGGGAAGTTTGTTCTTGCCTTTGGAGAAACAGGTTATCTGAACTGTAGGGTGTATGGTCTTGTGCACAAAAGCTGCCCTGGGAAGCTGATTCTTGTTCTGTTTTTTTGTTTGAAAGCAAGAACTCACTCAAAATTTACTATAAAAAAACACCATGCAAAGGCATCGACAGCCGTTATGAAGAGAAGAGAGGCTGAGAGAGATTTGCATGGCATTTTTTCCACAAAGCAGAAACCAAAGATCATCAGGACATGTTAGCTCTGTCTGTAGTTTGCACTCTCATGCAACTGATGTGAAGGCACAGGGCTTAAGTGTTTTGCCTAGATGTCTGAGGTGCTGAGGGTGGTGGGGTAAGGGACCTGGGGAGGTCCAATTTCTTTCCTTACAAAACCAGTTTGGATTTACTGAGGAAATTAACAGGGATGCAGCCTCAGTTCCTTCCCGTCCTCAGGTGTGGCACTTGATCTCCCAACACATTTGTGGTCACAGGACTTGTGCAGCTCCTGAATGGGATATGAGTGGTCATGCTAGGGACAAAGTGGTGATCCAGAAACGTTTTAATGCATTTCTTCTTGCTCTCAGACTTTGTTCAGCTCTTTGATGCTTCTGTTTGCTCTTGAATGTAGATCACATCTCATTTAATTATGTAGTCTTTATAAAAGAGCAGAGGTAAAATGTTTGGTTTCTAATTAATTAATAAATGACACTGCTTTTAAAAATGGGTGTGGACTAAAGAATCCAGAGATGTTCAGTGCAAACCAGCAAGAGTCTCCTCCATTATGCTACAGCAAAATAACTTGCAAGAGTCTCAGTGATGGAGAGCTGCTGTTCGTGCGTGCATGCTGACAGGAGACATCCCTCAGCTGCTTTCCTCCATCCCTTTCTCTCTCTCTGACAGGCTATGTGCCAGAATTTGGAGCACCTGCACGTAACTGGGCCTCTGAAAGACATGAATTTCTCTATTCCAGAAGAAGGGGGAGTGCGCTTCATTTACCAGGTAATCAAATATCTCATGATACCCGCTCTGTTCAAAACCCCACAATGTGCACATGCTGACCTCATGACAGTGCTGTCATCTGTGTTGGTGGGAAGAACAGTCACCTGAGAGGATCTGAAATTAACTTTGACTCCTTCTATCTGGAAATTCAAGAGTCTACATGCAAAAAGCAGGAGACAACCCCTTCTCTCAAATTTATCTTAAGAAGATATCCTAAGATAGGAATTAATAAAATTGGAATTCCTAGACGATGGGTTTTCATGTAACTTTTGCCATCATCTTCCTTCAGCTCTGAGGATTTCATCCCAATGCCATAACCACAGAAGGACAGATCCAGCTCCCAGGCAAATGGAGGATGTGTGTCATCTTTTTCCATTCCCGTGCTCAGACAAAGCCCTGTCCTAAGCAGACGTTTGCTTTGGAAAGAAACTGCAGTTGCAATTTCCTTCAGTATTCAGGAAATAATGTGAAAACTCCTCTGTTGAGGAACAGAAAAGAGCAGATTTGTTTGAGTAGGCTTTTGGAATATCATTCCCCCAGCCAAGCACATTGTTGGCAATAGGTTTTAAAAGACAAACAAACAAACAAATAAAGAAACTGATTATTGTGAAAATACTGAAAAAAATAATTTCCCCCCCCCCCATTCTAGTTCACATCCAAGCTACCCGCCGTGACTTTCAGAGCAACTGGTGAAAAAGATGGAATAATTGACATTGTGCCGAGGACAGGAGTCCTGTATCTCAATGGGTCTCTGGACTGGGAGAACAAAACTGTGCACAGGCTGCAGGTAAAAACACAGTGAAAAATAGGAAGAGAGGGTTATTAATATTCACACTTTTCTGGTAAACCTGAAAGTAATGGAAAACTGTTGAAATTTCAAATCCCTTCTTTTGTCTATATTTGCAGCTTTTTAATATTTAATTTTGAGCTTTGCTGAAGGACACTTGGTTTTATAATTCTGAAAGACTGTGTACAGGAAATTGCTCCTTAGCATAGGAGGGTTACACTGAGTAAGCAAAAATTACCCTGATGCCAAAACCAATCCTTTAATTCTCCTAATATGAGTACACATGACTGAAAGTGAAATCTGGCCCTAAGAATGAGATTTGCTTGTTATCCCTGAAGACTGATAGGGTGAGTTACATGGCTGGAATGGAAAAATAAGCAATTTTAATCTATTTGGGATGACAATAATCTATTTAGTGACAAATGGTGTGAGTAAATGACATTTAGACATAGAGGCACAGATCTAACCTCTGTTAGATAACAGCAGGAAGCTGTTTGGCAGATGTTGGAGGCTGTTAGAGGAAAAGCATTGTGTGCTTGCCCTGCTGTTATAATCTTTTCATAAGGATCTCATCTTAAACACTATTTGGAGTGGGACGGTGGGTAGGTGATCTTTTGGTCTCAAAATAGCTTTGTACTCTTATTCTGTTTCAAAAACGGTGGTCTTTTGCTGGGATACTAGCAACTGATAATGAGATGTCATGTTATCAGCTTCAAAGCACCTTTAGACTGGAATGAGAGAGGACAATTTTCTAGCCCCAGAAGTTATTAATGCTAAACATGGGAATCCTTTACAGACAAAGAGTGATGACAGAACTGAAAATTATACTTTTTGGTTAGATATAAACAATAATGATTTGGTCTATTATGTGAAAGCATAATAAAGTCTGACAGATATAATATATACCTTGTGTTTTAAAGTGAAAGAATCTGAAAAATAAGAAGTCAAACTGTTTGAAACTAAAATGTAATCAGAACTAAAAATTAAGTGTTCTTCACAAACCCTCAGACTAGCCTATTTTTTTGATTGATATTTTCAATAACACACTTGAGTCTGCTATACCATGTTGGGTGTTCTCCTTATTCTTTAGAAAGTGTCTATTTCTTTTTAAAAAGAAGCATGAAGTCTAAGCTGTGCAAGAATAAAAGTAGTCTGCTGAGACTGGAAGTGAGAAATTGCCTTCTGAAAAATGTCATCAGAAGCAGGAGTAGGTTATTTTGTTTTGTTGGCATTAAGTACTGTGGTGAATCATTGTCAGTGAACTATTGTGGTAAATTTGTTCTTGTAAATGGAACCACCCAGTGATGGCTCCCACCAGATTTGCATCAAATGTAGAATAACTTGGCATTTGACATTCTGATGTTCATTTATGTATTTTAATTTATCTACATGAAAATATTTCTTTGCTGTTCCATTTTTTTTTTCTAAATCAAGGTGGAAAGTCTGGATGAAAAGGGAAACAAAGTGGAAGGTCCATACACCGTTACAATATTTGTGGAGGATATCAATGACAACCCACCAGAATTTGAGCAGGCAAAGTATACTGGAGTAGTGAGACAGAACTCCCGTCCGGGTAATTGTCATAACAATTAAGTCTTATAGTTAATAGGAAGCTAGGTAGATTAGTTGAACAGAAAGATAAAGTGGGTTCTATACTTCAACAGACTAAAAAAAATATTATTTTATTCCCACAGGATAGTACAAAATAAGTATGCAAACGTATAATATAACGAAAGGGCTAAGAGGAGACCACTATGTGGTGTAAAGGGATGAGTGTAATCAGAAATACTTCATAGTACTTGTTGCTTTGAAAGTATTATGTACCAGGCAACTATTGCTGCTCTCTCCATTGCACTGAAATAAACCCCTCTATGCTAGAAGGAGTTTAAATGCCAAAGACTGTACAGAAAGAGAATGCTAAGAATATGTAAGTCTTTGTACATCAATGAAATAAAATAGCCATGTAGATATAGAGTGTTTACTATGACTGATGCTTCTTACAATGTGGGCTAAAACTTAGTATTTAAAGAGAGTCTTAGATTATGGATTGCTATGATCCAGTCCAGAAAACAAGAAAGTATCCAAGAGCAGTTTCAGACTTGAATCTTGGAAATGAAACAAAGGACTCAGCCAGCTATTATCACTGTGACTACAGACTCAAGAAGAAACTTTCACTAAAGAATACACATATAAAGCTCCACAGGGTCAGGAAACCTTTCTGCAGTATTTTATTGTACTCTTCAACTGCATCAAGTCAAAAAGATTTTGAATGTTGCATTGGTGATCAAAAGGCAAACATTCATATACGCATTTCCATGTTTTCTTTCACTGTACAGTTATTCCTTGAATTATAACTGTGTTGTGTAGCTGTTGGGAATTTTTTCTCAAGGTGCTTTGGATTGAAGTGGCTTATATAAGAACCGCAAAGTGGCCTTAAAGAGAAGTGCCAGTGAGATAAATTCTGAGTACTGGCACTCCTGGGTGGTAGATAGCTCTCTTGATTTAGCTCTGTCACCAGCTTCACCAGTTGGTGACATCAGTCTTCACCAACTGGTCTACTAAGCAGAGTTGGTGGAGGAGGATCTGTAGAATGATACACAGGCAACAAAACCTCCACACACAAGGATGGCTTACCTTGAGAGACGTGTTATGAAACAATGGCAGCTCCCCATAAGCTGCTCTCCTGGCTTGAGGGCTCTGCTTGAACGCACTATGTGTTGATGCTTCAGTCTCCTCTTACCACTGTTCCTCCTCTGATCCTAACAGGCAAGCCCTTCATGTATGTCCATGCCACTGACCGTGATGATCCTACAACTCCCCATGGACAGCTGACGTACAGCATTCTCCATCATTTTCCCAACCCTTATGAAGAAATGCTTTTCCAGATTGATAGTGTAACTGGAGCAATCTCACCGAGTAAGGCTGGTATGTAGAAAGATTCTTGTTTGTCAAAGAGCAAGCATGAGTTCCTGGGTGTACATAGGAGCAACACAACTCTGATATTAAATTATGAATAAAGGTAGGCAGGAGGACATACTCCTGGCCCTGTCCACGACTGAGGCCATGGTTTTGGGGAACTTTGTCTGTGTCCCACCAAATTCAAGAGAAGTTAACAGAAATGGATATTGGGATCTAGAAGTACATTGAGAAGAGAGGTAGGATCTCTGGCACTCAGGACTACAGTGAGTCATATCTTGGGATTAATTCTGTTCCTTGAAAACTAGAAACCTAAAAGCAGTAATATGAAAAATGCAGAGAAAACTCAACTGGGCATGTGATCCCAACTAAACTGCAGTGATTTAAAAACCCTGTCTCCTCTGCTAGGCTGAGGACTGCCTAACTGGAGTGAGGGTTGTTCACCTGCACAGCATGAGACCACAGCACAGAGGTCTCATATGATTATAACCACATGATGCAGTGCTGCATCACTCAGAGAAGCCAGAGGAAATGGCTTGCTGAGACACAGAGAGGCCTGTCTAAGGAATGAATCTGGAGCAGATGAAGCAGCACAGTGGAGGAGGCAATGGGCAGATTAACCATCTCCACAGCCTCTGCTTCATTTCACTTGTCTCTTTGTCTCTAGGCTCTTATTACTTAGATCCTCAAAAGCAGGATAGCTTCACACTCGTTGTCACTGCTAGGGACATGGCAGGGCTGACAATGAATGCCTTCACCAGCAGCACTGATGTGATCATCACTGTGAAGGAGAGCCTGTGGAAAGCTCCTTCCACCATCCACATCCAAGAAAACTCAACCCAGGTCCACCCTGTCAACATCAGCCAGGTAGGACCCTTGACTGAGCTCCCTGCATTTCTCCTCTGTGCCACAGAATCATTTCCTCCCATCTAACTCTGAAGGTGTCCACACTACCTTCAACACCAGGCTCTTTAGAAAGACTTTGACACCTCCCTTTTTTTTTTTTTTTTTTTTTTTTTTTAAAATGTAGTTTCCTTTGGAAATTATCTTTAGTGCAGGTCTCACTAAGTTATTGTTAGTATGAAAGTTAATGGTTTGAAGGTGGCTTGAGATACAGTCAATACAAACATTAGAGTGATGGGACTTTGCCCTTCAGCTCAGAGACGCTTTTAGCACTGCCTGTGTGTGAGAATACCCCATAACTAAAGAAAACATTTAGAGAATTCTGTTATGGTGTAATGGCTGGAAGAAAAAAAGGTGCTTTATGAGGACATTTGGCACAATATGAAAGATGAAGCTCCTGAGACACCTGAAGAGAGTTCCCAGACAGACATGTGCCAGCTGGATGCCTCTGTGGAAGAGGGACTCTTCTCTCCAAATGGGTCTCTTTGAGCCCTTCCAGCCTCACTTTGGCACCAAGGGCCCTGTAGACTTTGGGCAAACCAAGAGCTAACCTGCTGAAGGTTACTTTGAGGCTACCCTCTTCCATTCACAGAAGAGCCTGGCAGGGGACCAGCTCCTCTGCAACCTTGCTGTACGCAGTCCCCTGCACTCAGGGACATCTGCTGTGGCTAGTGTTGTGTGGCACAGCACACCTTCTATGTCAGAATTACCTAGGGAGGACCGAAGTACTTCAGCATTCCACATTCCCATGGCGTTCCTCTTTTCACAGTGCAGATGGAAAATATTTTGCCAATAACTGCAGACCAATAGTGATGTATATGTATGTCAGTTAATATTAACTAGCAGGCCTGCAGCCTTCCAGAAATGTTTGACTTTGAAAAATGCTTTGGCACTGACATCCGCAGTGCCAACACCCCTTGGACATGGCAGGATTCCTCGGGTCCTGTTTGTAACAGTAACTGACTTGGTGCTGTTCCCACTGGCCTCAGTGACAGCCTGAGGAAGTCCAAAGCGAAAACATGCAACAGTGCTCCTATTCTGTGGTCACTTGTATATAAATTTCATGTGGCAACCAATGACACGTTGATTCTGCCTAGGGGAAAACGAAATGCAGCTGGTGCTATATAGTATAAAACATAAAATGTAATACTGTCACCTTTCTTAATTTGGCAGTCTGTTTACTGCATTTCATTTTTAATCTAAAGCACCCCACTAATGATCCTTCATCACAGACTTTGATGCCTGTAAAGAGCATGCACACACATATGTGCAGATAGGTACTGGATACTTGTTTAGTTGTTCCACATCTCAAAATTAGACTAACCAAAACAACAGGCAGGAAGAGACAGAGTAAGGAGATGGAATAGAGTCATGTCGAGACATTTAAATACACACAATGATTCTCAGGTACCACAGTTTAACCCCACATCTCAAACCTTTTCCATAAAAGGATAAGTGTCATAACCCATCTAGACAGGTGGAGAAACTGAGGTAAAATTACTTTACCACAACAATTCAAAGAGCAGAGGTGGATTATTATGCTGGTTTTCTGCAGCTCATCCCAAGAGCCTTCCACGCTGCTAATTTTCTGGTTTAAGAAGCTAACAGGAATGCAATGTTTTCTGTTTGTGGTCCAGAAATGATCCCTGTTAAATCTCAGTCTATGCTTCCAACTTCCTATCCTGACTTATTTTGGGGGTTTTTTTTTAGGTGTACTCGAATGAGCCAGATGTAATTTATGACATTTTTGAAAAAGAAAAGCTGCCCAGGCTCCCATTTTCCATTGATCAGAATGGTGTTATTTATGTGACTGAACCACTGGACAGAGAAGAAAAGGAGAGTGTAAGTAAACACATAAAAACTCACCAATGGGTGACACCATAGCAGAAAGCTGATCATTGGTGTGGGAGTAAATACAAGAAAGCTCATTAGAAAGGACAGAGGGGGGGGGAAAAAGAAAGCAAAGCTTTGTTTCTTCTCATTTTTGTTTGGGAATGACTTGGTAGATATGAAAGCACATATCTACTGCACTGTACACAGCCCTCAGTTTGGTACCCTATGACATTTCTGCACAGGTCTGGCAGTTGCAGTCACTGCCCACAGCACCTGTATAGTGTCCAACACAGACCAACCATGGCAGGATTGTAGGTGCTTGAGCAGGAGGTAGGCAGTGACATTTGTAGAGGGCAGGAGATCTGGATGTTTCAGATCAGATTCCAGGGGCCTTGGGGATCTCTCCACATCAGAAGCAGAGTTTAACTTGCAGTTGCAACTGGAAAGTTACCCTGAAGTTCCACATCTGGGGGTCTTTTAGACAGAAAACCCTTTTGGTTTTAGAGGAAATTTGGGCATTTCCAATAGCCCAACTGGAATAGGCCAAATGTCAGATACGCTGGAGGAATCCTATATCTGTATGTGACAGATGAATTTGCAAAGTGACAAAAAAAAGATATTCCTGCTTTTCTTGAATTTTTGTGAGAGCAAGTTTGCAGTGCAGTGAAGTATTCAGGACTTTTAAATTCTTTTGAGAACTCAGACTTCAGGCACTGAGGGGCGATGGAAGATTTCTGAATTAAACAAAGAGAAACAAACATAAGAGAGTATATGTTGTTTGAATGGAATGTTCCCATAGTTATACATTAAATGCAAAATATTGTCACAGTGGACATCAACACATCTAATCTCCATATTCTTTTTGCAGTATACTTTTTTTTTGGTCACAAAAGATCATGAGGGAGAACTGGTGGATAAGCCTCTACAGGTTCATATTATTGTGGAAGACATTAATGACAATCCCCCTGTGTGCCAGCAAGCCCTCACTGTACTGGAAGTTCAAGAAAATGAAGGTGGAGGTAAGAAAACAGCTTTTCCTCATTTATACACATCACTCTAGTCCTGTTCTTGTTTCAAGCTGAGTGCAAATAAAGCTAGAAATTCTGATCGCAAAGAGTAAAATGCAGCTTTCCCAGAGAAATGTTTTCCTATGCAAATAGCCGTGCTGCTTTTTGCTTCAGTAATTCATGTGGAAAGGATTTACATAACCTGAGAAGGGAAAGATCCAAGTCCCCTACTTAAAAATATGCTATTCCATTTAAAATATAAGCTTGCATTTTCCCACAGCCACAGTTTGGACAACTGCTTATAAAGTAAAATGAAAACCACCTCTTTTATTGTTAATACAAGAAATACTCCTCTAAAAGTGGCATGATTCCATTTTCCCTCATTCAGATGCTCCCACAGCATAATGCCTTTGGCTTCAATGGACCGTTACTGAAATCCATCCCTAAGTCTCCACATCAATTATTTGGTTTCCAGGCTGAAGTATCTGTTGTTACAGACATTTCTTCTGATCAAAACACATAGACTGGTCTTTCTGGACAGCGCTAAAGCCAAAGCAGCTGTTTGGGATGGTGAGAGAAAAACTACCAGAAGTCAAATGGTTGTGTCAATTGCAGCCTTTTCCATGCAGCTGTATTTTTATTGCCCCTGTACTCTTTGTATTGGTGTCACTGTTGTCAGTGTATACCTCTATGTAGGAATAGAACTACTGCATTTTCTGACTGACTCTGGTCTCTCCTCTGCCACAGGAAGCAATATTGGCACCCTGTTTGCTACAGACATGGATAAGGAGGACACCCTTAACTCTCGCCTGCAGTTCAAAATTGAAAGTCAGGTTCCTGCTGTTCCTGAAAGTAATCTGTTCTATATTCAGCAAGACACTGGGATTTTGCAGTTAACTACCCATTCACTAAACAGGCGCATTGCATCCAACTATTCGTTGAAGGTGGTGGTGACAGATTCAGGTATGTAACACCTGCTGTTATACAATAGAATAATTTTGTTAACATTGGCATCCCCTGTACTCAGTGCTGAAGGGATGAGAGGAGACCTGGAGGATTCGCTGGTTAGGCAGCAGAACTGAGAGCCGGCTTGCTCTGGCATGGTACTGCCTTGTTCTTGAGATGCAGAGAAGTTAATCATGATTCATAATGCAAGTATGGGAGGAAACCAGCTCATGGGCAGACAATGGATATGGATAAATGGGAAGCTTGTTAAAAACTACTCTAGTAAGATATTTTCTTCCACAATAGAAAAAAAATGAAGAGACCATGACTGTGGTTTTCCTCCAAAATCTTTCAAAAGCACTGATTGAAAAAAAAATCAAGAAATTAAACATAGCTGCTCAGAGAGTCCAGATAACATATTTTAAAAGATTAAGAGCTGAAATTAATCTTCAAAAAGAATCTTGCCTGTTATGTAAGTTCCCGGGAGTCCTTTGTGGTTCACTGAATGAACAGGAAATCAAACTCCATACTAAAGCTTAAAGCTCTGTACTGGAGTCCTTATAGTCAGACAAAAGTTGTAGATGAGGAAACTGGCATCTAAAGAAAACAGTGTGACAGCTCTGTAAATGAAATAGGATCACTTAGCGAGATTATATGGAAAACCTGCAGAGAGAGAAGCTGGTGATCTGGTTTGAATGCTTATTTTAATCCCATCCAAACAGGTCTTTTAAGAATGTTCCTTAACTTTCAGTTCATGAAACATGTCTGTTAAAACACGAAAATCCAGCTACATATGAATAGCACACAACCAGTCAGGGCATGTGTTTAAAATCACAACCCCCTTTTCCTATGGGTGACCTTGCTCAGGTATTGCATGGATTTACATAGATCTGAAGTTTAAATCTGACTGTAATGAAAATAAAGGTGCTGACTGAAAATAAGGGTGCTGCCTGATGGCCCACCAAGGGGACAAGGTAGCATAACAACCGGGGGCTTACTTTTTAACATGCAAAAGTGATACTGAGAAAGCTAATACAATTTGTAGATATTGTTGTGGTGGTAAAGGGGTATGGTTAGAAAAAGTGAAGGAAATGGTGAAATGAAATGAAATGAAATGAAATGAAATGAAATGAAATGAAATGATGAAATGATGAAATGGAGTGAAGTGAAGCAGGTTGGGACATGATTAAGGAATTGGGAAGGTGAATAGTAAGATAGAGAGTGATGTTATCATTGACAGAAATATTGAAGATCAAATGCTTCTTAAAACAGCAGGCCTTTGCTTGGATTGTACAATTTGGAAGTGTTCACTTTTGCTCACAGTGAACCCTTTTGGAGGAAAGTTATTTTCAGCAGAAGGGCTGCCATGACCTTGTTTGTTCTCTTTTCATGCAGTATTCCAAACAATCTGTGATGTCCAAATACATGTAATTGACATCAATGATCAGATTCCCATCTTTGAAAAATCAGATGTGAGTATTTTTAACACCATTTTTGATATCCCAGCAACCTCTGACAAATGTTTGAGCACACATTCAATGTCTAAAAATGTCAATGGGAAGCTAACCATTTGCAGAACAAGTAACAGAGCAATCCACTAGTTGAAAATAAAGGCAAGGTATTGCTGCAAAGCCTGCCTATAAGCACTATCTAGACAATGAGCAGTGGGACAGATTCTCAGTTAAGTCTGAAATATAAGGTAATCTGGTCAGCGACAAACTACATGTACTGAAAAAAATGATTCTACTAAAGCGGTTTATTCCAGAAATGGAAGTTCTTGAGGAAAAGGGAGAAGAAAAGGCTTTTAAATCAATTTAAATAGCTAAATGGGAAACAGTTAAGACCTTCGAAGTTCCCTTCCAAATACAATATCAAGGCATCCAGAAAAAAAACAGAAGGGGAATGGAAATCAAAGGCTCTATTTGGCCCAGTGGTCCATGCACAAGTGCATACCTTCTGGCCCTCGGTTCTGGAGCAGGTGTCATGCTCTTGTCTCTGCCACTTGTGCTGGTGCTGACATCTGGCAGAGACCTGCAGACCTTCCGTGACTTCTGCCTGCTGGCCCAAGCCACCCTGCAGACACTGCAGTGGCTGGAGTGCCTACATTTAGGTGTCTAAGCTCCCACCATAGGTATCAGCAATGTAGGTGGTGGGCTCAAGAGGGCTGTCTGGCCCATCAGGTGTAGGCATCCTCTTGGGAAAGCTGTGTTTGTTTTGGGGCTTTCCTGACTGCATTGTTGAGCTTTCTGTTGATGACAATACAAGCTTAGACACATGCAGACTAGGTGCCTACATAGCACCCCACTGACTTTCTCACCTTGGTTGCAGTCCAGGACCTGGTCTCAAGACAAGGCTGCTAGGTCAGGACACACATTAAACAGAGTAAATAGAGCTGGGCTGTTAATGTGGCAATGGCTTGTAGTGCACAGAGCAATTAAATATCTGGCAGTCAGTGGCTAGGGTGTTCACTGGGTACAGAGGAGCAACACTGTCCCTACAGCTGTAAACACTGCATGAACATGAAGTTGTTTCAAGAAAGGATGTAAAGGTTTCGGACTGTTGCTATACTAGTAGCTTACACATTGACAGAGATTCAATCACCTTTGATAAACGTATGGCTAAAAAGGGGGATATAGCAACTCTGAAGAGGCTTTAGTGCCCATCTTGCAGCCCTGGGTTCTTCTGAGCAGTGAGAAGGCACTTCACAAATGTTTTTATACCTCTCTTTAACATGGTTACATCTCAGTGCACCCACTGCTTCCCTCCCTCACATGGCTACTGTGGGTTAAAACATATCTGTGTTTGGGGGTCAAAAACTTCTTGTAGTACTCAAGTTTTTATCTGCAGACAGTACTCAATGTGTCATGTTTCAAAAATCTCTCTCTCCTCAGTATCACAATATGACTGTTGCAGAAAGTCTTCCAGTAGGAACAGTGATATTAGAAATTCAAGCTACGGATGGAGACGAGCCTGGTACAGGGAGCTCCTACATTCTTTACCAAATGAAGGAAGGAGATCCAAACAACACGTTCATTATAGACACAGATTCTGAGACAAATCGAGGGTTTGTCAAGATTAATAAGGTGAATAGATGGGTTTATTCTTCTCTTTTATATATATATATATATCTATATCTATCTCACAAATATTTATATATATATATTTCACAAATGGCAACTGCCCTAGTGATGTTTTGCAGGAGAGGGAGTTGGCTGGTGGTGGGGTGAGGACACCCTAAGCTTTATGCAGATTGCAGGAGGCCCCACTCTTGGGCTCAGACACTGCACCTGTCCTGCCTTTACCCTCTACCACCAGCAGCTCCCTCCACTGGCTTTGCTGCTGGTACCTTCTCCAGCAGAGTAGGCTTTTAATGATGGAGTAGGTCTTTATGTGCCATAAAGAAAACAATGGCATTATTTGAGTGATTTTGCAGCAACATTTCTGGAAAAGAGACAGCCACCTAAATGCTTCCATAGGCTGTGGTTGTGGTGGGGGGCTATCATGGGGCAGATCCTCCTCCTCCCTGCTGGTGCTTTGGGCTGTTGGTGGCTTTTGCAATGGGAGGTGTAACCAACACGTCTCTATGTCAAGATGGAGAGGCAGTTTGTTCCTACTGAGGTAAATATTAACCGTGGCAAAGCCAAGGTCAGCACATGCTGCAGTGGGTGATACTTCTCGTAAGTTGAATGCTGGAACACTAGTAAAAATCCTCTCCCTTTGAACTTAGCCTTCTTGAAGACACTTGAACTATAGTCATTTTCCAAGGGTTGATGTGGTTTTCTCTCATCCAGTTCACATGCCACCAGCCAGGCAAAGGGCAGGCAGATGCAGCATTGGGTGGACTATCTTCACGCTCATCCTCAGTGTTGTTTGTTCCCAAGGAGGCAATTGTGAGAAAATTCGTGGTGTAACAACCCTCACATGACTTCCATCACCCGAAGGTCACTGGAGGCCTTCTTGCACAGAGCTATAAATACTATTGCTGTAAACAGGATACAGTTATTAAACTGAGTCAGGCAGGTGGCAACATTATTAGGAAATGCAGTTGCTGAGGAGGCCTCCAAATGGGCATATGGTTTCATTTAAAATTACTGTTCCCAGTGTCATTTTGCTCCTGACAGCTCTCCCTTATTTTGTCTGTATCTGGGATGCAATCTCCTCCTTGAGAAGAGGGGGACTTTATGGCTTCCCATGGGAGCTCCCTGCAGCAGCAAAGCCATTGCTTAAACCACCTTTTTTTTCTAATTTATCCAGCCTCTTGATTTTGAAGCAACTCCAGTGTACAACCTGGTGATCAATGCCACAAACCCCGAACCGCTGGTGTCAGGCGTGCAGTACAACTCAAGCTCTCTTACCTTGTTTAAAGTTTTCGTAACAAATGTGGACGAGCCACCTGTTTTCCACAAGCCAGCTTACAGAACAGAATTGTATGAAGATGTTCCTGTCAACACCCTGGTCGTGACGGTGGAGGCCTATGACCCTGAGGGGGATTCTGTACGGTAAAAAAACGTGACCATGGCATATTTATTGAATTGATGATTTAGAAAATCGTTCCAACAGAGGGAGAAGATGGAGGTGTGGTAGAGTGGTGGCTGGTGACACACCTGCAGCTGACTACTGGGCAGTGCTTTTCTAATCAGCTTTCTCTCTGTGCTGTGACAAGCACCAGCCAGCGAGGCCCTTGAACCAGGAAGCTAAAAGGGAAGAAGGCCAATCTATGCCTCTGGGAAAAAGGCAGAGCTGGCCTGAGAATAGCAGGGTTTCCATATCCATAATGCCTTTAACAATGAGTGAAGCATGTCCTGCATATACCTATGAACCAGTAGGTGTCGCGTGAAGGGAAGGGGGTA